GGCTGTGCTCTACGGCAATGGAAACAAGGCGCTGACGATTTCGAAGGACCCCCAAAGCTTAAAAAACAGTCCTTGACAAAAATAGCTAGACGATAGGTGTGGGTAACTTTTCCATGTTTCAATTTATTATTCTAATTCAAAGTTCAAGGAGTTTCCATAAAATAAGCTTCTCTGGTCATGTGATTTCTGGGTTCTGACTATTTTTATTAAACCTTCTGCCATCTGCAATCTTCCTAGTGATACAATTTTATAGGTCATATAATCTCTCAGTGTCTTCATATGATGGATAGAGATGCTTTTATGGTGTTGTGCTTATCCGATGACGAATTAGGAAACTAGAATGAAACTAATCTAAAAGTGGCCATTTCCTACTTCAGAAATGTTTTTTCCCATAGCAATAGCAAACACTCTAATAAAGAGATTCTGAAATGTTTCAGAATCCGAGCAACTGGAGAAGATGCACAGAATGGCCCAGGCTAAGCTATGCCCTACGGAAGGCTCTTGGAAAATTGATGAAGTATTCCAGATAGATAAAGAATTGGCCTTCGCTCTGCCCAGTCCACAGGTAAGAGAGGGTACTGAAGTAGGTTAAATGTATGTATTATTTTCATTACCTACCTTGACTCGTTAACTTCTACTGGGACATATGGTTTACTAGATTTTATTAAACAAAATGAAAACATTGGAGAAAGAATTGTAATAACCTGTATTTCACTTACCTTTTCTTAAATGTTCTGCCTAGAAATTTAGTCTTAGAGACTCTCTTTATTTACTGTACACAGATAACAGAGAGAAGAAGTGAGGAAACTATAGATTATTTTAACAATACAAAATGATAATAGCATAGAAATAAAATTAATTTAATTCAAATGCATTTCCAGAGGCACTTATTTTTTAATTTCTTTCCAGAGTCATTTTAAAAAGCCAAAATTATAAATGTCCACACATCAAGGGGAAACTCCCTTGTCACTTGATGCACTAAATTATATAAAACATGAGTTACTAATTAGATTAGGTTTCTGAGAGGGCACCTCAGAACAACTTTTGTACTGTATAAATATGCCTTGTTTTTCATTAAGCATTAGCTTGGAGTCAAAGTTTAAAATCTTTGGTGTTGTTGGCAATTTAGCTACAAAGAAGTATAATTCATCTGAGTAAATATATTTACCATAAGAACTACATGTTCCTAATTTGTCTTAGACAGAATACCAATTCCAATAGTAATGACATTGCGGGTAATGTGCAAAGTCCTAGGAGAAAGATGCAAGTAACAGCACAGTGCAATCAGACAGTGAGATATATAAAAGGTGCATGGGTTTTGAAAGTTGATATATAAATGACAATAATTTATCAATAATACTTTAAATATAAAATAATGACATAGCATTTTTCTAAAAAAACCCTTCCAAGCATTAACCATGTCAGTTCCATAACCATCTGAAAAGGTATGCATGCCATTATGCATATTTTCCTGATGACGTGAGAATACATACAGTGTGCAGAATTTAAATCATTGTTCACGTTCCTACAGTTAGGAAGTACCAGAGCTAGGGCAGGAGTCTAAGCCCAATTTATTATCCAGAAAAGAAGAAATGACATTGTTGTAATTATTATCATTATTATTTACTCCTCGGTTTAAAATGTTCCATGCATTTCCTGGAGAAGATTTGGTTTTTCTCCACTGGATACATCTTTTGATAAGTTAATACGTTTACAAAGGTGTATCTTTATTTGTACCTCATACCCCTGGTAGTCACTAGCTAGAAAACACCTATACAGAGAACAAATCCAGTAACTGAACTGCATTTGGCAATAAAATCCTACGAAGATGTTGCATAATACAGACAAACATAAAGCAACTTCTTCCTCTCAACTTAAGTCTCCTCTTCAAATGATTGCTATTTTATAAAAACGACATAAATGCTGTATGTCAATTACTAAAAGCACCTAGCTTTTATATGTACAAATAAATAATATTCAGATTAACCTAAACACTCCCACTCCAAATGCATCCACACAGGTCAGGACTGAGTGATTTCAAGGAAATACTTTTAATAGTGCAATAAAACAATCTTCTTTTGGAAACGGCCATTACTTCACATCAAACATTTTAAGAGTTTTTTAGTAAAATAGCATGGCAAATGTGGAGACTGCTGGAACATACCTCAGGGTCAACGTAGATCTATGTAGAAAGAATATCATTTTCTCATCTAGCCTCAAATATGCAGGCTCTAAGAAGGAATTCTTACTTGGATTCCATATGGATGTATTGGGCGTACACTAAGATGACGATGAAATCAAAGTTGGCAGTTAGCATATATGGGTATGTAGACACAGTGCCTCCTACTTGCCCAGGACTCTGTAAAGTCCTATGAGAAATATATGATTCAAAGCACAATATAATCCTTAGTATCAGAGAGTGAAAAACTAAAACAGGATTTTAAGGTTGGAAATACTTTATCTGAATTAGTTTACTATATGCACAAAACAAATTACATAAATATCTCATTATGAGGCAGATATAAAAGCCAACTTTTGCAGTTGTTTCAAGAATTGAGTGAAAAAGATATAAAGAGGGCAAATAATGTTAAAAAAAAAGTGAATCTAGAAGGTTTCTAATAAGGGATTACTGAAAGGTGCAGTCAGGGTGATTTTAATGGGACTTTGCAGGTGAATTTAGAAAAAAAATCCATGGAAGTGTTTGAACAGTGTAGGAGAGCAGACAGACAGAGAGGATCGTGAGGTGTCAATGCAGGGACTGCCACGACTAGACACACAGGTGAGAGTACCAGGGCAGCTTTTCAGGGAATGAGTGTTGGGTCACCCCGTCTATAAGGGGGATGCTAATTCTATTTTACAATAAGATCAATTGGTATATAAAAGTCCTGTTTCTCTTCTTCCAGGAGAATCTACCTGATAAGTACGCTGGATGGATGTGCATTGCTAAAAATCTGCCTGAGCTGATTGAGCGTGATGAATTACGAGCAAGAGTCAAAGAGGTTTGAACTGTGTATTATATAATCATCTCCTTTCATAGATTCTTAGTATTTTAAATTTGGTCTTGAAGCAAAATCTTTTACGCAAACTGATTTGAGTCAACCACTCCTTGTGCTCTCAGGTGCCTGAGCTCAGCATTGATGACCTCACAGAGCACAAGTCGCAGCGCCTGGCACATCTGGCCCTGGGGTACATCACCATGGGATATGTGTGGAATAAAGGTGATGAAGACGTCCGTAAGGTACGGAGTTCTCCTCATATTGCTTGTGCTATCTGGCAGGTATTCCCATTTAAATTTAAGCTAGTTAATTCTCAAAGCAATATAACTACATTTTTCTAAACTTGAATGTCAGAAAAGTAAATGGCAAAAATAATCCAGCTACTTAATTTAAATTAATATCGATAATTATAATTTTATTTTATATTATATAATATTTTATAATAATGACTATTAAAATTTTATTTTAGCCATTTACTTATACACAGTGGCTTTATTCTTTTCATATGTATATTTTCCTTTCTTCTTTCAAGTAAATTATAATGTGAACGTTTTTTAGTTGCTACATAATTAGCATTTAATGTAGCCCTAATTTTTCATCGAGTTTCTGAATTTTTACTTACTCAGTACTCTTTTCATACATCTTACTTGTTTTTAATATTTTCTGTTATAAATAATAAATACCTAAAACATGTCATATTGTAACACTTTCATAAATATTTTATGACTCATATAAATGTTTTAGAACTCATCTTAATTAAAGCAAAGGCATTGTCTTACATCTGCCAATATAGAAAGATACATTTGATGGTTCTGTGAGCTGGGAGCTGGGTTGCTACTGACAACTAGTGATTCAAACCCACCAGCAGGTTGGAGGAAGAAAGATGAGGCAGTTTCACTCCCTCAATACTGTAGCCTCCGAAAATGTATATAGAATCACTAAGGAATCAACTTGAAGACAGTGAATTAGTCTATGTTGTTACTATAATCTCACCAAGATTAAGTAATCTAGATTTTAAATGGTGGCATTTTAGTATGTATTTTGTGCTAATTATATTCTTACTTTTACATAGAAATATAATTATGAATACAGACATTATAAATTTACCTTTCATTGCAATTTCTCACTATGCTCATGATACAGGTTTATGGCACTTGAGTGGAAGAGGTAAAATATCTGCAAACTACTTCTGTCATTCTCTACCTAATTTTAAAACAAAGGCCTGTATCCTCATTCCATGTAGGATTTTAAAATTTCACAGGGAAAACACAGATCTCAAGTTTCATTTGAACAATAGATCAACACTGAATTATTTGTTTATATAAGCCCAATGTATAATGCAAAGTCACTTGAAAATCCTGTATTTTATATTACAACCCTCATTTCATGGGGGGAAATAAAAGACTGACTGCAATGCCTAACTTTAAAAAAAAATTGGACGCACCTACTATTAATTGATGGAAGTATACTTCTCTACTGGTAAAGACAATTGTCATGATATTATTTTTTCTGTTCTGTTCTCTGTTTAAGACTTGATCAGCCTTTATAGTTCACCTATGTGATCAGTTATTTTCAGAAATTAAAAAAAGAGGAACTTGCACTGCATAATGATGGGGCCACTTATATTCATTGGAAGGAATCCCAGTGACAGCCTGTGTTAATTGGTCTGCGAACCTAAGTTGGGCTTAGTATCACCAGCCCTGACTTGGGAGAAAGGTGAAGGAGCCTCCCTCTGTTAAGGACTATGAAAAAGGAAGGAAGGCAACGAGGAAGCACAAAGGGAAAAGAAGAGGCTAAGTTACAATTTAAATTGTCATTTCTAGACCTCCTCTAAAAGGGGTGCATAAAAGTTGTGAGTAAGCCAGAGTGGTCATCCTGATCGATACATTCTTATATGGAACCATAGAGCAAGAATAAAGGAAATTCCTCCTTCCACTACTGTAAATGTTTACAGTTAAGTGTCAATATCATTTTATAAAATATTCAGACAAGGAGTTTCTGCATTGCGGTCCAAATCAACAATCTAGCCACACTTTATTACACTTTATTTTCAAAATTCTTACAAATGGCTGCCCTAGTTTATCTTTATATCCATTAAGTATCTGTTGGGTGAACAGATGAATGAATGGATGCAAACAACTTCCATGACAAGTACAAAGTCAAGAGTGAAACAGATCCATCCATCAGGCCTGGTCCCACTACGTCTGCTCTACTCTGTGGTCAGGTTTTGTCCACATTAACGCAAAGGATGAGCATGTAACAATTACTAATCTTACGTTCTGAAAGGACGGATAAAAATTAATATTCGTTTGGTTTCAAAGTGTCATTATATAAAACAGATAATACTTGATATCCAAGAAGTATAAGAAAAGATGAGAAACTTCATAATTCAATAATAAATACTGAATTTTAATTAGATTCTGCCAAGAAACATTGCTGTTCCTTACTGCAAACTATCAGCGAAGCTGGGGCTACGCCCTATTCTGGCTTATGCAGATTGTGTCTTGGCAAATTGGAAGAAAAAGGATCCCAACGGGTATGTAATTTATGATTACAACATTAATAAAAAGTATGCATTTTATTTAAATTAAGAAGCAATTATACATTGCTTTCATTCTTGCCAGCACAATTCTGCTGTTGGGTATTTTTCCTTTGATTGTTATATCTGCAACTACCGAAGAATGGTACATATGTGACAGGGGTGCATAAAGGGCAGACAGTAAAATGCCCAAACCTGTGGTTTTCACAAATCTCTACGAGGTACAGATTATTTACCTGGCCGCAGGAAATTACTTTGTGTACTCTTTCCAGTCAATTTCGGTCAACTCTCTGGAACAGGCAAATTTATTCTTATTTGTTTCACAAAAACATTTGTATGTATTCTTTTTATATATATCTTGTAAATGAAATAGAATATGTATCATTATATAAATATATTTAAATGACTATGTTTTTAAAATTCTAAAAATTATTTTAAGTAGCTAGTTGAATTAAACAATAAGAAAACATATAAATAAATAAATAAAACAAATGAAAACAGATCCTCATCAATACATGAATAAAGTTGGGGTCTTGCATAGAGACCTGCTCAGGGACCAGCCTTCTCAGAACACTTTAGTGATGGGATCTTCCACAATAAAGCTAGATTGTAGCCAAGGTCTGGGGATATGTCTGCAGATGTGTATTCTGTGCATAGAAATGCCTCAAATAAAGGGAACTGGCTCTTATTAACCAGTCTTTTCAGCATCAACCAGTTTTGACTATCCAGGTATGCTGCATTCTTATTTAGTGTTTTAATTCCACTTACAAAGACCTAAATGTTTGCAGTTCCTGTGTAGAAACGTAAAAATCGTATTTCCATTTATTACTCATTTATTTATTATCTATATCTTACTTTTGATAGTTTAATAACATTAAACTGTTTGATTGTAAGTTTATTTTTTTTCTCTTTCTTCCAAATGACCCATTGCATTCTGGGTGTTTCACAGGCCCATGATTTATGAGTAAGTATTTGTTTTTTTGGTTTTACTTTCAACATTATATGTTATTCAAAGTGAATCAACTTTATCAAATCCCCCAAATGGATTTTTAAAAACTTATCAATTAGATTTTATTACAAAAGTAATTGTTTATAGAGCAAATAATTACACCCCTTGACTATATCTAATGACTGTGTCTGTTTGACAATATAATTATGATTATGTGCATAAATAATACCTGCAATAATATACAGGTAATCAATATGTATAAACATAAAATAAACACCTCTATGTTTCTATGGCTCATTGGCCTCTATGGCCTGAATTAGTTCCATCATCAATAAATCGTTGTTTTGTGCAGTGGATTCAGTTCCCTTTGTACAAAAGGAAATACTACCTATCAATATGTAATCATACAAAAAGTTCTTCTTTCCACCCAATTCTTACTCTGTTTTTCCCTCGCGTACTAAGTATAGGTTAAGAGCTAGGAAATAAAAGCAATCATCGTAAGTATAAGTCTTCCCTGGTGTCCTTGAGTGGTGAAAACCATTAACACACTAAGCAGCTAACTTAAAAAGATTAGACCTTCAAGTTCTCTATGAAGTACCATGAGTGAAAACGCTAGAGTTATCCTTATGAAATATCAGCCACTGAAAGCCCTGTGGGGTGGGGGAGTGGGGAGGGAGGGGAAAAATGAGGAACTGATACTAAGGGCTTAGGTAGAAAGCAAATGTTTTGAGAATGATGAGGGTAACAAATGCACAAATGTGCTTGACATATAATGAATATATGTATGGATTGTGATAAGAGTTGTATGAGCCCCCAATAAAATGATTTTTTAAAAGTTAGACATTGAATAATAAAAAAGAAAGCCCGATGGGGCTCAATTCTATTCTGATGCACAAAAGCAATTGGACAGCAACTAGAAAAGTCCACCTTAATGAAAAGAAACGAATGAAGCAAAAAATAAAGTATGTAAGAATTACATATAAAAAAGGACACTAGATACGATGCTACAGCACCAGGAGCACTAATGCAATATATACATAGTTAGCGGGGAAGGGAGGGATCCCTGGAGCATGTCCTTGACGCTGAGCCTTAATGAGGAGTGGGAGTTAGCTACTGCCGCTAGGTGCCTTTGAGTGGCTTGTGAACTTAGGAGTCATCCAGGTGACTGAGGAGAATTCCCACGGTTTTCTGGGCTGTGGTGGGAACAGAAGGAAATTGCCAGGCGTTTTCCTGCAAAACGGTAAACTGGTTTTTCATCACTAACTGTTCGTTTCATAGCCACGCACCTAAGGGTTGTGCTGCCAGTGCCCCGAGGGGATGAACTGGAGGAAGGGAAAGTGTCGGGCTTTCCCCCACTCCAAAACAACAACACGCCAGAAAACAAATCGGATAATCAGGGTTTTGATTCTTACCAATTCTTCATAAGGCAGTTACATGTCCTGAGAAATTGAAACATATTCATAGATTAAAATGTGAATATAAAAACATTTATTGAGTTATAGAAAAAGACTTTTTCTATGGGCTGTGTCACCTAGAGAGCTGTACAAATATTGAGAATATAATATTTGGTAAACATGCATATATATACATGCACAACCATGAAAATGGAGCATAATTGGTCCTTGGACTTGTAAGAATACTGAATGCATGGCTTTTCCCTTAGGAACCTGGACATTCTGTTCTTCTTTCCTGGTGATGGCTGCGACAGAGGGTTCTTCCTGGTGTCCCTGTTGGTGGAACTAGCAGCGGCTTCAGCAATCAAAGTATGTCCATCCACCCAGGAACATTTATATCTTGATTGACATACAAAATAATCATCTAGAAATGGAAATAATACTAAGCAGAATTTAAATTAGGTTTAATGTCTGCAACGCTCAACACTTTAATTGAGGATTGGCGATCATCTGATACATATGTCTATATAAACATATACACACACTCACATCTATATTTGTACAAATACTCTCACATATATATTTTTATATGTACTTATATATAATGATAAATTATACTATATATTGTGAGGAAACAAGATGCTAAAAATAAGTGCAATTGGATTTCTGACAGGCTCAGGACAGGGCTTGGTTCAGTTTGAAAGAATACATCTCCCATGATCAAGCTCTTAATCGTAAGTCACTATAAGGTCTGCAGTTCAAAACCACCTGCTGCTCCGCAGGAGAAGGACGGATGGGACTTTCTACTCCCATAAATAGCTATAGTCTCAGAAACGTATGGGTTCAGCTCTACCTTGTCCTATGAGCTGGCATCAATTTGATAGCAGTGGGTTGTGTTTAGTGACATAATGCCAATGATTTGACTATTATTAATTCAACTATATTAATATGTTTTAAGTTGAGGAAGAATTGCATATATTTATCTCAAATTCAAGCTGAATGAAATCAAATCTAAGTTTATATAAACATAGAACATAGCCAACTGCTTGCTCAACCTGGGAAAGTCGTGGCAATATTGACTATTTCTTTAGGAACGAAGACATGGACGTTGTTTATTATGTGCTGATATTCATCCTAGGAAATCTTAAGTGTCTTCCTTTTTCTTTTCTTTCCTTTAAAGAAAATTCCTGACTTATTTAATGCGATGATAAAACAAGATCTGGTTAAATGTAAAGATGCATTGAGAGTGATAAAATCTTGCCAGCTGGATGCCCTCGAAGTGTTTAAACAAATCCACAGTGAGTATTGTATGCGGTGCTGTGCTCTGGGCTACCCGTCAAATGCTTCATCTGATGGGCAGAGTCATGCAGGACAAAGGATCCAACCATCATTCATTCAGTGTGTTTTCACTTCCAAAATTGTATCTCAATATTATACTTTCTATGCCGTGTATTTTATTATTTGCATTTTCCAGATACGACTATCCTGATTCATGGAGATAAGTATCTAATCTAAGTTTGCCTAGGTATTAAATGGAAAGCTTGCCACATGAATCAGCTGTTTTAAGTTCTAGACAACGTGATGCTTTATAGGAGCTCTTTGCTACGTTATTTTTCTTTCACAATGCTGCCGAAGAAGCAACATAGAAGAGTCATTGAGCTCAAAAGTAGTTGCAAAATTATCAAATTAAAAAACCAACCAAAATGAAACAAATTTGCAATCAATTTTGATGTCCTTTGACTGGAAAACCTTACTCCTATATGACTATCTATTGTTGGACTTTGAGTTGTTGTTGAGTAGTCTGGCAAGGAGACGGGCTTCCAAATCACAGATGTTAACCACGTTTTAAGGAAGAAGACAGTGAGTGATACAATCCTTAGGGTTTTGTTTGTGTGTGTGTGTGTGGGGGGAATTTCTTGTGGTAAGTATTTAGCTATTGTGTCAATAAACACACGAAGCAATGCTGAAAAAAGGCTGACAGTTTAGTCTTTTCGGCCATCCCAGGCTGAGTGAGCCCAGGCTCCTCGGTACCAGTCACAGACCCTACTCAGGGGAGATATGGAGTGAGAGGGCCTACAGAGACAGGCCAGATGCTTCTGAGCTTGACCAGGGGTGAGTTGTTCTCTCGAACTAACCCATTCTCTTTCCAGAGCCTGTCAGAAATCCCGTTGCAGTTGTTTGTAACATCTTGTTTTCTCACAGTATATAATGTAATTTCTCACTCTAAGACTCATGCTACTTAATTAAAAACAACCGTTTTTGTTTCTCTTTCTTTTTTTAACAGAACACGTGGATCCAACTATATTTTACAATGTTCTTCGCACATACTTATCTGGGTATGTAGTCTTATGCTTGAGTTTGTTTTCTATTAAAAGTTAAACCAACTGCTTTAGAGTCCTTTCTGACTCATACCAAATCTATAAAGCAGAATATAACTGCTCTCTAGCATCTTTGAGCCTGGATATCCTTATGGGAGCAGAAAGACGTATCTTTATCCTGAGGTAAATAATTAAACAACACAAAAAATCCCCCAACATAGTCCCAATAGGCATCAAACTTGTGTAATAATTTTATTCTAATTTTAAAATACACTTTTAGATAAAGAAGAAGTTCTCTTTTATTCCATGTCTGGGAATGCACTGGCGAGATAAGGAAAAGCTTGTAGTTTTAAAGAGAATAGACTGATTTGTGGTGACACTAAGTTAAAGCTCCATTTTTAGAACATGTGGCTCACTTTGATCAGTATTATGTTATTGTTTAGTAGCTGGGTTACTGAAAAATGGTTGGCAGTTTGAACCAAGCCACAGGTGTCTCAGAAGAAAGGCCTGGTGATATGATTCCAACAGGTCATGGTTGTAAAAATATATAGAGTCATTCTACTCTAAAACACATGGTTCACCATGAGACATACTGATTGAGTGTGACTGAGTTACCCTTTCTGCTGTCATGAATCTTCTTCATCCAGGAAAAGAACCAGAAATAAATAGTGTGCAAGATTTGTGAAATCTGTCTAGCCTGTGCAGCCGTATATTCATCCTCTGTTGCAATTAATCAAAAGACTTTTTCTTTTTCCTTTCTGTTCTAGTTGGAAAGGCAGCTCACTGCTGCCGGAGGGTCTCCTGTATGAAGGGGTCTGGGATACCCCCAAGCAGTTTTCAGGGGGCAGTGCGGGCCAAAGCAGCGTCTTTCAGTGCTTTGATGCCCTGCTGGGCATCCGGCACAGTGATGGTGAGTGGATGATGACAGATCATGATCACCTTTTATGATAAATGTGGTAGTGTCAAAATACTTAAAAGAGTCTTCCTATCAGCATCTCAGCTGAGCTCATTCAATCCTTTAAGGAGAGATGGTCATTATTCCAGTTCCCAGATGGAGAGGCAGAAACTTAAAGAGAATAAGGGTCCAGCTCCCATTAACCAAGTTAGAAAGCGGCAAGCTCCAAACTCAAACTCAGGTTCATCACACTGTTCAGCTCAGCATGTGAAGCATAATCGACTGTATTGAAACCAAGATCACATATTCTATGTACGATGAGAATCAGACAGAGAAAGCCATCTGGCCTGAAGTCAGGGCTAAGCACTGGAGCATGGCCTCAAGTGCCCTCAAAATCGTGGAGCTCAATTAGGACCGTTCACTGTGTGCTCTCCTGCCCCACAGGGGCCCAAAGGCAATGCTTGCGGCCAAGTTCAAAAATGAGTCATAGTCATTGCATTCCATTTGGGGCCCTAAAAGGGGAAGACGAAGATACTCTTAGAACTTGTTTTAACTTCTCTGTGTTTCCTTAGCTTCTAATAACAGTAAGGGAGGAAAATATTGAGTTGGATAAAACAGCTCGTGACATGCCTTAGACATTTATCTAAATAAGATCTCTTACACTCTTCTGGAGTTGGACTCATGATTGACAAATACAGATTGGATATACTTTTTTTTTTTTAATTTGGTCTCCCTACTACCTCAACTTTCTTTGTCCCTTTAGGATCTGCTGCTGGGTTCCTCCAGGAAATGAGGACTTATATGCCACCAGCTCACAAAGCCTTTCTTGAGTCACTAGAGAAAGGTCCCTCAATCCGAAAGTTTGTCCTTTCAAAGGGTGACCGGTGCCTGAAAGATGCTTATAATGAGTGTGTGGGAGCGATGGTGTCCCTGCGGGACTACCACTTAGGAATAGTAGACACATACATTACCAAGCCAGCAAGGGAAAAACAGAAGGGAAAGCAAGATCCTGAGGATTCATCAAATCAATCAGAAACGGAAAACAAAGGAACTGGAGGCACGAATATCATGACGTTCCTACAGGCCATACGAGATTCAACAAAGACATTCCTTTTGGTGTAAGGTGAATGAGACCAGAGCAAGGGTAATGTATGCTAGAAATAGGCAACAGTATATAGTCCTGCCCTGGCTCCTTTGATCACACCCAATCACCACTACTCGCTGCCAATGGTGAATTCCAACTCAAATAGCATGTAATGATGTATAAATTACACATTATAAAGTATTTCAAAATAAAAAGATTTTGTTATCTGTGGATCAACTGAGAAAAGAACAAAAGAAAATAAAAAGAACAGAAATATGATTGCAATGAAATATTGTAATGTCATGCTTATCAATTAAATATTTGAATGATTGTAAATGAAATATTAGAATGGAATAAAGAAATCGAATAAACAAAATTTGCTAGAAGATACAATGTGGTCGTGACGGTTGTGAAGCCCCCATGCGTCCGTTGTGACTCATAGCCGTGCTGCGCACAACACAACGGAACAATGATTGGCCCTGCGGCACCTGCACACTCGTCTCTGTGTCTGAGCTCATTGCTGTGGGCCACGGAGTCAATCCTTCCTCTTTGTAAGGGACCCTCTGCATTACCAAGCATGATCATCTTTTCCAGGGAGGAGTCTCTCCTGCTAACATGGGAGATGAAGTCTCACTATACTCACTTCTAATGGACACTCTCACTAGGCTTCCTCTGAGACAGATTTTAATTTTTGTTCTTTGGGAAGTCCATAGTACTTGCAATCTTCTTCACCAGCACCATAATTCAAATGCATCAACTCTTCTGTGGTCTCCTTCATTCACTGTCCAACTTCCATATGCATACGAAGTGACAGAAAATATTATGATTTGCTTGAGGCATACCTTCATCCTCAAAGTGAAGTCCTTGGTCTTTAACACTTTAAAGAGGTTTTGTGCAACAGATTTGCCCAAGGTAATAATATACCCTTCGATTTCTTGACTGCTGCTTCCATGAGCACGATGTTGCATCCTAGCAAAATGAAATCCTTGACAATTTCGATCTTTTTTATTTGTTGTTTATCATGATGCTACCATTGCTCCACTTGTGAGGAGTCTTGTTTTCTTTCCATTGAGTTGTTATCTACATTGAAGACTGCAATCCTTGGTCTTCATTAGCAGGTGCTTCAAGTCCTTCTCACTTTCAGAAATCAAGGTTGTCACTATCAGCATATCATATGGTTGTACCATCTGCATATCATATGCTGTTTATAAGACTTCCTTCAATGCTGATGCCATATTCTTTTGCATATAAACCAGTTTCTCTGCTCAGCATACGGATTGAATAAGCACAGTGAGAGGATTACCACCCTGATGTACACACCTGTCCTAATTTTAACCCATATAGTATTACTGCCACTGGATCTGTGTCCAATTTCTGCATGAGCACATCAGGAGGCATTTTGGATCTCCCCACCAAACACCTTTTACACATTCAGGAAGACATAAGTAAGTATTTTCCCCCTTGATATGCTCGGCTTTAAGCCCTCCTCCATTTGATATCCCTCTTGCCAGATCTACCTTTGAATCCAGTTTGAATTTCTGCTCATGATCCACCAATGGTTGCAACCATGTTGATTTAACTTCAGGAACATTTTACTTGACCATGATAATATCGTTTTATAATTTTCTGCATCCTGGCAGGTCCTCCTCTTTTTAGAATGGAGAGAACCATGTAATTCTTCTAGTCAGTGACCAGGTAGCTGTCTTCTGAATTTCTTGCCATAAAAAAAAATAGATGCTTCCAAAGTTTCATTTGCTTGTTGCAACAGTTCAATGGGTTTTGCTTCAATTCCTGGAGCCTTGTTTTCCACTAATGCCATCAGTTCAACTTGGACTTTTTCCTTCCACATCACTGGTTCTTGATCATGGACCACCTCTTGGAATGGTTGAAAGTTGAACACTTCTTTTTGGCACAGTAACTCTCTGTATTCCTTCTACCTTTGTTTGATATTGAAAAATGGCCCAGTCAAAACAGTGACTTCCAAAATTATCTGCTGAACCAGTTAAATTGAAGAGAGAGATATAGGTTCAGAAATTTATTGTCACTCTTTTTTAAGTTCTCTAATTGGTAACCCTGGTAGATTTTCTCAAAGGCCATGGGATAATAACAGGAATTGTTATGAAGAAGTTTTTAAAAAATCATATGAAAACCAGGAGTGGTAAGTCTATAAAGACAGTGAGCAGATTAATAGTTCCCTGGGGGTATGGCAGGGGAGGTTGGAGGGAAATGGGGAGCTAATAACAATGAGTACAAGTTTGAAGAAGATGTTTTAAAATTGATGTTGGTGATGATTGTACAACTCTTCTTGATGTGGTTGAGCTATTGAATTGTCTGATATGTGAATTATGTGACAATAAAATTGTTGGGAAAACAAAACAAAATTTTGACACACACACACACACACACACACACAGAAGATTGAAAACTGCATTGGTGATTAAAAAAAACAAACAAACCAAAAAACAAAACACACCCAGAAAAGCTGCCCCAAGGAATTTTTTTTCTCTTATTACTGAATGCACATCCTCTCTTGGAGAGTAGCCAGGTCTGTCCAATGAGAATTTCACTGGGAATCCTTACTCAATCCAGTCTGGAAAACCTGATAGTGTCCCTCCAGCTTTGTTTCTGTGCACGAAAACTCAAACAACATTGTACAGGAACACAATTGGATTCCCCAAGGTAAAACTGCCATAAATTAAGATGCAAAAAATTAATATGGAATGGTTAGAGAGATGGAAGCAGTACACTCAGAAGTGTATAAACATAGCTGGAGGATATGTTGGAAAATATTTAGATAGTTTTGTTTAATTAAAGTTCCCATAGTATTGTAGCAATATGCTTTGATCCATCCTTATATAGCAGACATAGGAGAGTATCTATCAAATTAATATTTGAAAGGATAAGTGAATAAATTACTGGATTGGCAATAAGAGATCACCTTTGGAATACTACTTCTTCTTAGAAAAGGTCTAAAATGTCTCCTATATAGCATCTTCACTCTGCTTGAATATATTTAATAATGGAGTGAAACAAAGCATTGCTATGTGCTGTGCACTCATTTATGACGCATAGTGACCTCATGCATAACCGAATAAATCATTGCCAGTCTTGTATCATCCTCACAATGGTTATGTTGGAGCACAGGGCTCCAGCCACGTGTCGATTCCTCTCCTTCAGGGTGTTTCTCTTTCTTATCGCCCTTCTACTTCTTTAGCACTCAAGCCCCAGCACTCAGTGGGCTACACAATAACCCACTATGCTAACCAGAAATTCAGCAATTCAAAACGACCAGATCGATTGGATTACAGTGACTTTGGTATGCCTTTCCTGATAACGTGTCCAAAATTTGTAAGATGAAATTTCTCCATCCTTGCTTCCAAGGAGCTTCTGGCTGTACTTCTTGCAAGAGAGAATGTTTGGTTCTTTTGGCAGTCCATGGTACTTTCATCAGCAACATAATTCAAATGTGTAGATCCTTCTCTGGTCTTGCTTACTCGATGTCTTACTTTCACATGCACATGAGGTTATTGAAAATACCACTGCTGAGTCAGGTATACCTTAACCCTCAAAGTGATATTTTTGCTCTTGAATGGTCTGTGCGGTAGATTTATCCAATACAATTCATCACTTGATTTCTTGACTGTTGCTTCCAGGAGTGTTGATTGTTGCCACAAGCAACATGACATTTTTAATAGCTTCAATCTTCTCTCTGTTATCATGTTAGTTAACTATTGGTCCAGTTGTGATGATTTTTGTTTTCTTTACATTGAGTTGTAATCCATATCCTGATCTTGATATAAAGATAGACTAACCGTGGTTAAAAATTTAAAACACATCTGAATCAAGTTCTTTATTTAAAGATGACTAAGTTTATATTCAGAGGGGGGAAGTAACTCAAAGTGACATGACTTGTTTGTTACAAGTGAGAGGAGAACGTAAATTTTTTTGATAACTCCCATAATTTCTTAACTTTTATTTGGAATAAGCCAAGTTAGAAGGGAAGAGACTCGTCAAAGAGTGTGGGATGGATTTGGAGGGTTTTATGATGAAGTAAACGGTTAGCCAGAAATCGAATATACTATGGAAAATAAGAGAAAAGACAGACATTGCTCTACTGAGTGCAGAATTGCCAAAGCTGTTGAGTTTATGAAAGCTCAGCTCTGAGAAGACAGGAATTTAATTAAGTACACCACAACAAGATTTAAGGATGGTAATGGACCAGATGCTTGGAAAACCATTTTTGAAAACTATTCTACCACTGTTCCTGGAAGACACCTTGATCCCAAGAAACCAAGTAGAATCTTTCTGCACACAGCTAGATGTCACTTGAATCTTTAGAAAATGCACTCAGTGCCAATTGTGGTGCCCCTTATGCGATGGAATCCTTTGTTGGTCAATTTTCTTTTCTTTTTCTCAACAGTTTTATTGGCACATAATTTACATATCATAACAGTCGTTCAACCATATCAAGGGGAATTGTGGAAAGAGTAAAGAGTGTTGATTCACACATGCTGTTAGGTGCCAAGTCCGTTCCAACATACAGCGATCCCATGGACAACATCACAAAACACTGCTCAGTCTTTCACCATCCTTACTCGACTGTTGTTACATGCTAGCCCGTCATTATACAGACTGTGTGTCAATCCATCTTACTGAGGGTCTTCCTCTTCTTGGCTGTCCATCTACTTGACCGAGCATGGTGTTCTTTTCCAAGATGCCTTCTGATAATGTGCCCAAAATGAGGTCTCGATTTCCTGACATTTTTGTTTTGTTTTGATTTCCTGACTTTTAAGGAACATTCTGGGCATACCTCTTCCTTTTCTTTTGACAGTCTAAAGTGGTTTCAGTAGTCATCCACATCACTCTTTCAAATGCACCCATCCTTCCTCAGTTCTTCCTTGTTCAGTGCTAACTTTTACATGGATGTGAAGTGGTTGAAAAGACCATGACTTGGTCCTCAAGTAACATCTTTCCTTTGAAACCCTTTAAAGGGGGCTCGTGCAGCAGATTTCACCCAATGCAATGTGTTGTTTGATCACTTGACTACTAGTTTCATGAGCCTTGGTTGTGGATCCAAGCCAAATAAAATCCTTGACAACTTCATTATTTTTTTTTCTATTTACCTATCGATCCACT